ATCAAACACACCTAAGGTTCGCCCCTCCCCCCTCCTCTGTTCCCGCTCCCAGCACTGCCTGTGTGTGTGTGTGTGTGTGATGGTGTGTGTGTGTGCGCGTTTGTGTGCGAGAGTCTTGCTAGGCATAAATTTATGAAACAGAAGATTAAAACACTATTTCTGAATATTTTCAAAGTGGTAACGTTGTGAAAACACTGATAAACACCCACAACTGTGACAGATTATGTTTAAATGTGCTCTGTATTTGTGTCGTGACAAAGCATTGACTGCTTGCTAGCTAACACAAGATAGCTATCAATGTTACCTATAGCTAGCTAAATGAAATGATGGAGTAGGCCTAGTTGTAGTTCTACAAAGGTTAAAACTTAGGAGGGTTAGGGTTAGGGCCAGTTTTATAGCATAAATAAAGCATAACACGCCGTCCCACATTATCTAACATGTTCAGCTAATGTGGGACAGTGACATAAATCATGTTTTCATAAAAACAAAGGATTATTTTACACTTTTTTCTCCTGTTTCTCAACCAGTGTTTAACCTACTTCATTATGAAACAGAAGTAGGCTATAAGTTCTTACCTAATTTAAATTTCATTAAAAGCCTTAACATTGAAAAATTGAAACCCACTTGCTGCTGAACTTACCAAGCGTTTGTGCTGTGCAGACCTCCTGTGAAGATAGGCCACGCCCACTCTGATGATGTCAGACCAACCCAAACCATTGTTTAGTGGCAAGAAGTGTTGTAGCAACAATTCAAGATCAGTTTTGATCATTGTGTATTGATTTTGACCATATTAAATCATCACAATGCATAAACGTCCCACATTACCTGATGTCCCACATTACCTGAATTCACTCTATTTAACTGTTTCAACACTAAATGAAGCAGAGTGACGGACCCAAAGCCTTCAATCTGGCTAAAAGACAGCTGAAATGCTAAACAAAAAAAAATACAGTGGTGAAGTTGGGATTTGTTTCTTGAAGTTATGTGCTCATCGTCTTTTCTGTGTCTTGCAGGCTGCCAGGAGAAGCGGACTGGCCATCAGATATTGTTTGTGGAAATTTGAAAATAAAGTTTGTCAAACTGACTTTTGTCTCTTCATTGTGCACACTTACACACGAAATATGGTAACAGTCAGCTATTTTTGAATGTTAGCACTGATTTCTCACAATGTATGGTGAAATATTTGTAGTTTGAAAGGTCCGACCTAAATGAATAAAGGTCGTAGTTAACGAAGCATATGAATATTAATGAATATTAATGAAGGAGCGCCCACTTAGTGCAGCTTATTTTATTGATCGTTTGAACGTCGCATGGTGGTCATTTTCAATTAAAGGCTGACATCTCAGCGATGTTTTGGCAATGAGCAAATGCTCTGCCTGCTACGTCTTAACGATCTAAACTTGATACATCGGGCCGACGTCGGCCAGATGTATGTGTGCTGTCTGGGAATGCATAGGCTATATATGTGATTATTGATTTTTATTGACACATTTCAATACTTTCCACCACTAGGATTTCTTAGGACTCTTGCTATGTTATAACTAACATAATTATGAGTCTAAAACAGTTGAAAGAGTTTCTGTTGCAATTTGTGGGAGGTTGACCCCCTTTTTCTCATATAATGATTGGACTATAAGCAGAGAGAGAGAGAAACAATTATGCAGCCATAACTAAGTTTAAAAGTCCAAACAAAATATTAATTGACAAGAAACAATTCTAATCAATTCCATAATTCAAAGTAGATTTTTACTCAACGAAAAATATATAAAGCTTTTCGGGAAGGCTCTCGTTCACTGTCCGATGATGACCCATCGGCAGAATCCACACAGGATACGTCACTGAGTCCAGACACCTCCCCTCCATCAGACTCTCCCCCATTCATGCTGTTCAGCAGTGCCTGACAGTAAATCTCTTTCTCTTATTCTCCAATTGTCTTCTTGTCTTCTTCTCCTATACAAATGTGTAATAGCTTGATCATGACTGTTTTCGATGCAGGGTTTCTATGAGAGACTTGAATATTTGATCAAAACAACGTTACATACAATCAAAACACAGCTGCGGGAAATTTGACCCGTTGGTGGTCCTAGTGCTAAAGGCTGTGAAATAAATTTGATTTTGAGTTGTTGTTATTTCGCCTTTCAGAGGCTATTTCCACACAGGGGCTGTGTTGCAGTTTACTGAAAACTCCGCGGATTCAGCACCATGGACAGGGTTGACAGTCACTAGATGACAGCTTGTAAGGGTCCCCTAGGTCCTTCTTCATGACAGGTGACGGAGATATGGAATAAAAGTTTTATTGTTTTACCTGTTACATTAGGCCTATCTGCTTTCTCCTTGTTTTTCACTGTTTGTCAATGTTATGGGTTAAACATGTGTTTAGTCACAAGGGTGTATGTGGACCGAATAATTTCATTTCTGATCACCGATAGCCTATTATTTTCTTTTTACCTGTGTTTCGTAGTGATGTTACGTGCTGTGCCGATGCTTCGAAGCATGCGTCGAGTAATCCAGGAAGTGTTTCCGCGATGCGCGTATCGAGGCTTGTATCGTTTCAGACGAATGACGTCATTGATGACGTCTGAAGCCTCGCTGCCCGGCTGTACCACATGACTGATTCGGGAAGCGGTTCAGATCTTGGTGTGAGGTTTGCACAGAAGTGACACAGAACACGAATATTACCCCTTTTGTCATTATTATATTATATGACACTACACCACAATACAATTTTTAGCCAAATGATTGGTTTAAACACACAGGATGCATTCACAAAACAACAGTTTATTGTAGATGTATTTGATACAGTATAGTCATAATATACTCACTAGAAAATACACTATATTGATAAAAAAGAATATTATTATTATTATTATTATTAATAGTCATTCCCAACAGCTGTTACTGACACAAAATACCGTGTATCACAGGTTACATGGTTAAGATCACAGCTGCCTGTTTTACACACTTTGGCCAGCAGGTGGTTTCGTGTGCACATGAAGCCTCAAGAAATGAACCCTTTTCTGAACCAATTTGCTGGAAAGCTTCAATGTTTCATGAGGCTTCATCTCACCATCACTAGTGTTTTGGTCACCTGGGAGGTTACTTAAGGGGAAGTGACGGGGTGAAACAGGGTGGTTTTTGGAGGTCAAGTCGGCACTGGGACAGGTCTGCTTGTCAGCTCAGCTCCTGAAGATTTTTCCGTGAGGATTAAATGTTTTTCCCTTGTTCGGCTGGACTGCTGCAAGACTGACCATCATCTGCTAACGGGACTGATGTGGTGAACATTGGCAAAAATCTTTATCTTTTGTTTTCCCGCCACACTCCGCCGCCTGTTTTTTCCTTCCTTTTGTGGATTATTGTTTTTTACCTCGGAGTGGACATTTGTTTCTTTTGGTCTTCTGAGGAACTGAGAGAGACTTTGGGGATTGTGGAAGGACATTGGGTTTGTGTTTTATTAAGGGGAATTGTTTGTGGGGTTATTTGTTTTCTGTATCGCCGTGACACGCTGTTAATTGAGTGAATCGTCCGAGCCAGACGTGTGTTAATTTGAGTTTGATTTAATTTAATTACACTAAAGTTGTTGAGTTAAACTAACCATACGCGTCCTTTTCGTTTTTATACAATTTATTACTGCATTTTGAAAGCATAAGAGTTACGTTTTTTGGGGGGGTTCATGTTATATCAGGGGTTTCAGCTTGGCACCGTGAACCTGTGCCTTCCGTGACCTGTAAAAGTAGTGCTGTGACATAAGCCTCAGTTTCTGTTGTTGGCGAACTGTTACAAGCTGATGAATTCGCTGGTCAAGGCTAGGCAAAACGTTAGTACAGGTGAGATGACAGACAGATGGATGGTTTATCTCTAACAAAATACTTGTAGACGTGCTGCAAGAAGGATTAATGCTTAATATACATCTGCAGCCAGAGGGCATCGCACTGTCAATAGGCTTTATGTGTGGGCAATACCAGGATGTCTTATCCAAATAAGGGCATGTATGTCACATATAGCAGATGGATGTGATTTCCTGTCGATGAGATAAACGCCACAGTCCGTGCTGGCGCAGTGAGGGAGTAATGCACAAACTGCTTCATGTTGGAAGTGCTGTGGTTGGAATAACAGGGAGTCGGACTACTGGGTATGAAAATGGTATTAAAATGGTCGGATTAATGGGCGGTCAACATTATGGGACTAAAAGGATAAAACTCGCCATAGACCTGCATGGTCGGATTAGCGGGTAGTCGGAGTTATGGGTAGTCGGACCTATGGGAGGTCGGACTAACGCCTGGTCCCCATCCCTCCATTGGCAGCTACTGGCAGGAGCTTAAAAAGTGTATGGATAAAATACTGAAGGTGGACCTTCCACCTACAACTGAGGTATTATCCTTGGGGAAACTGGACATAGATTTGGCAAGATTTGGGGACAAACATATTTATAGAATAATGTTGATTGCAAGCAAAAAAGGGATTACCAGATAATGGATGAAGAATGAGGTACCTAAGGCTGAGGACTGGGTTGAGGTAATACACAATATATATATGTGATGGAAAAGTTATCTTTCTCTGTGAGACTGGAGGTGGACAGATTTAAAAGAATTTGGGAAAACTGGATCGAGAACATAAAACCAACTAGGTCAGACTTTATGAGATGTACATCGGGGGAAAAAAACCCTAGTCCACAGCTACAGAAGTTGAAATGTTTTGTTTCCTTTTATTTAATTTTATTCTACTATATTCGCTACACTGGTAACATGGTAAAACTATGTTAGTTTAACTGGCCAAAATGTATGGTAGAATGTTAATAACTACTATGTTCTGGGCATAATTTTATTTGTGTATATGAATAGGTACAGTTATTCTTTATTTTGATTCAAAGTAAAAGACTGAGGGTGTCATGTTTAATTGAAAGATAATGCAGTTGAGAAAAAAAAAGTTATTGTGTACCAGTTGTATGCAGAATGTATGTTAAAATGTTCAATAAATAGAAATGTAAAAAAAAAATAAAAAACTTAAAGATGTTATATAACTTTATTTGTTGCTTATTCCTCGTGTATGTCTGTATAGACAAATTTATTTATGTTACAACACATGATTTAAAGTCAAGTGTTCAGGAGGTTTAATGAAGAGATGGTTGCACTATGTGAGTTGTAGGATTATTATCTATACTATACACTAAAGTCAGGATATCGCACTCTGATGCTCACTTTGCACCATCTTTTTACAATCTGTCTCCTGTTAGTCCTCCAACTTTCTGGACATGCAAAACTAAAATGCTGGAGTACCCCTTTAAATGTTGTCTCTTTTCAAATGTGAACACAAATCAGACTTCTGTAATTCTACATCTCTTTATTTAATTACTGACTCTGCTGTTAGAACTTCAACTGACCAGTTCATACTGTTTGAAAAACCCTGTGTTTTCTTTACCTCTGCCCTGCTAGCAGATGTAAGACTAACTCCTCATCCTCAGCCAGAGAGAGACCAGTGTCCAGGGCTGCATGCTCATTATTCTGCTGCCTCGCTTTCTTCCTCTTCCCTGCTGTGAGCACATCCTCTTCCTCATCACTGCTTTCACTGCTATGCTGCCGTTTGTCTGACGTTATCATCTCCTCCTCCTCCTCCTCCTCCGACAACGAGTGCAGTTTGTCAGGATCTGGCAGGGTGCTAGGGTCAAATTCGTCTTCACTGTGATTGGCTACGTACGCCACCACCTCGTCCTCCGTGTCCTCGTCCGATTTCTGTCCGGGCCGCTTGCTGGCCTCCCTCCTGGCTGCCTTTGCCTTCAGCCTCCTCTCCCTGTGTTTGGCTTTCACTTTGCGACTATACTCCTGCTTGTCAAACTCCTGGTCCTCCTGTCTTAGCCTCTCCCTGGCCTTTTCCACATTGATACCTGAAACATCCTCTTCCTCATCTTCCTCCTCTGTACCAGTCACTGCCCGTTGAACTGGAGGCCACACCTGCAAAGCCTCACCCTCTTCACTGAAAGCCACTTTGGTGTTGACTTGGAAGTTTCTCTTGAGGACCTTTTTGGCTTCTTTGAACTTTGTCTGTTTATCCATTTTCTTTTTGACCACTTCCTTGAGAGTCTCCTCATCCCCCGTCAAATTGAAGACATCTTTTCTTTTGACTGTCAGCAGGTCCAAGTCTCTCAGATCATCATCATCATCATCATCATCATCATCATCCTCAATGCCATCTGCAACCAAAAGCAGTGTCTTGGACTCATCCATCTCCCCTTCATTCCCGCTTTCCTCATCATCGACTGAATCTTCTGAGTCAGAGCTCTGACTTTCCTCATGGCGATTGTTTCCTTTCAGCTGGGCCTTAAAGCTCCTCACCTCTTCCTCTTCTTTGGACTGCTCCTCCTCTTGCTGTGCTTCTTTCTCTGCTCTCCGTGCCTGAGCTTTACTTAAGAAGCGCACCCTCGGAGCCACAGCAAGACCCAGAGAAACAGCATACTCCTGAATCTGGAGTTTAAAGACATCAAACACCTCTTTGTTCTTCATCAGGTAGACAGAGCGCAGATAGGAAACAAAACACCTCTGAGCTCTCTCCTTCTGCTCATTCTCTTGGGCCAGGAAGGCCTCCAGCTTCTGCTGAACATTCTGCATTTTGTCTGGGTTCACCTGCAATCAATCAGAAAATAGTATGAATTAATACACGTTGCCTACTGCTCTACTGCTGTTGTAAATAACACTCAAATAAATATGTATGTATTGTTTGTGTTGGTATTATGTTGCAAAAATGGCCCTTCAGAGCAATGGACGTTTGTTACTTCTGTGAAGAGACAGAGGACTCAGGAGTGGTGGGTTTGCGATGTGGAGGGTTTGACAGTGAAACAAGGCTATATATATATATATACACACACATATACATATATATATATATATATATATAT